GTCAATGTGTATTAATTTCTCATGTGGTGAAAAAATATTTTAAGTTAACAGTTATTGTCGCTAGATACAACTCTTTGATTGTGATTCTTTTATTATGGTTGAGAGGCACTTTCTGTGACAAGCACATCTACTTGCCTTACTTGAATAAATCAGCTATTAAGAATGTAATATAATTTAAGATATATTCACTAATCCCTTTTATACAGCATTATCTTTTTGGTCAACTTTCTTTCTTATTTTATCATTACGCTAGTTTCTAAATAGAGAAATTTTCAACTAATTATTATTATAAACTTATGCTTTTTAACATTTCACAAGTCTAAAAGTCCTAGTTTTGTAAAACTGCTAACACGTGATGAGAAAAAAAAAACTAAATCAGAAACGAAAGCCTGTTAAAGTGACTTTTAAGTACAGTTTGTTAAATTCTATGTTATATTCTATGTTATTAAATTCTATGCGGATGTTAGAATATGACGCCGCAAATTCAGCTAAATACACGCATATCAACAGTATATATTTTACTTACTGTACTATCTTTGGCATATCCATCTGTTACTTTTGTATTCGTTGGAATCAGTATTGTATAGCAATTTGTACTTTCTAGCTCAAAGTTTTGGCTTTTCTACCAACAAGTTTTAGCAACGCTCTATTTATGATGGTTCCTGCACTCATTCTCTTTTCTTTTATGATTATATTTCTATGCCAGTGGTGTGACTCACATCTCAGATATAAATTGTTCAATACTTGTGATGCCATAAAATAGGGAGGACCGCTGGAGCCGTGTGTGCCTGAATGAGGTATATTCGTGTAAATATACCTCATTCAGAGACAGATGCTAATAAATTTAGATATTGAGTACAAAAAAAAAATGTTTTAATGGAATATACATAATATAATTATATTAAAAATATTGTATGTCATCACTGTGTAGTTCATTTCATAAAAAATGCTCTTCCAATCAAACATCAGACAGTATGATAGTCAAACATTGGACTTTGTGTTTTATAAAAGTGTAGAGGTCTAGTTTGGTAGATATATTAAAAAGTTTATTTTGTTATACTTCAATAGAGTATATTTTTTATGAATATTTTCAATCTCTTGGTAGTATTTTAATAGTGTTCTTTTTTATAACGTTATGTGAAATAATAGAAATCTTAGTGAGAATATATTATTTTACTTCCATATTAAATTACATTATATCGTCCATGATACTAACATCCATCGTTTAAAATTATGTGACACACACATTGATTTAAAGTTGTTATGAGAAAATATAAAACTTATGACATTGTCCAAATGAAACCTATAAAAATGAAACTGCTATCTAAGATTTTTTTGTGAGTCTGTTAGCAGAGTTTTTACAAAATTATTTTTTATGCTTAAGGACATGAATATGTAATATCTTACTTGTATATAACAAAACTTTAAAAGTGAACAAATAAGGTTTGTAAACGTATACTCAAAAAGACCCGGTTTCGAATGAAGAACTCTGATAAAACATGAAAAATAACAAAAAAAAAATAATAGGAATCTGTTCATTGTAAACAAACTGAATGTCTTAATTTTTTTTACGATGAGACGATGTTACTTCTGTTCCCATTAAATAGCTTCTCGGGTTTCCTTCTCTTTCTTTCTTCGTCTCCACTCTTCTATTTTGTTCCACACTTTTATTGACCTCTCGATCAACTGTAGTATTTGTGACACCTCTATCCTTCTGTCACATTTGATGTATTGAGCTATTTGGTATTCTGTGTGTGTATTCTGTGCCGTTAACTTTTTAGTTGTAATCATCGTCAGGTGGCGTTTCGGTTTTTATTCTGCATAGTACTTGACGATTTTAGCAGGTTCTGGCATGGAATAACCATAAGGATTTGGTTTATTGTTTATCATCATCAGCCTATTAGCACCTTCACTGTTGGGGCTGAAACCTTCCCTATGGATGGTTGGTGGTTGATGGTTTACGTTATGATTATAATTCTGACATTGAACTGCTTCAGTCTGGGTCGGAGCATGCGTTGTAGTTACAGCTAATATTTGGCGCATCATTAGCTAGGTAATATAACGTCCGCGGTGTAATTAGTAAATTCCTCCAAAAATTAATGTCCCTTCTGTTTCTAAGGAGGAAAATTTTTCTCTTTCTTTCTTCACCTTCATTCTTTTATTTTGAAATCAAATTTTAATTGACTTTCCGGTTAACTATCGCATTTGTGATAACTTAATTCTTCTGTCACGCTTAGTATATTGGGCGACTCGGTATTCTGTCTCTAGTGCCGTTAACTGTGGGGTTCGGTTTTCTTTCCGCATAGTTGTTGATGATTTTAGCAGTTCCTGGCATGGAATAACCATGATTGTATGGCACATTGTTCATATTCACTAGTCTGTTATTATACCCACTGCCGGGTCACAGCACTTCCGTATGGTAGGTTGGTGAGGTGTTTGATGGTCGTTCACGTGATTATAATTCTGGTATTGAACAGTGTCTGTCTGGGTCGGAGGATGATGTATGTATTGCAGTTGCAGCTATTATTCAGCGCATCATTGGCTAAGTAATAGTAACGTCAGAGGTGAAACCAATAAATTCCTGTAAAAATAAATAATGTTTAGAAATCACAGTTACAAGAATTCATTAATATTTATTATAACCTAAATACAAAATAAAATAAAAATAAATTCAAAAATCTTCTAAAAACGTAAAATTAAAAAAGAACATATTATAAAAGTTTATCATATTGAATACACTTACCATTTGTATCAAGTACTTTTTTCTTCTTCATCCAAATATAAAAAGACATTTTGCAAGAACTCAACTAACAGACTGGCGAAATATAAATTTATCATTTCTTATATAGAACTAATATACCTTTCTTTTCGAATTAGTTATAATGATAAATAATTAGCTGTACAATTAGTAAATTGAAACCATTGTCTGTTCTCTTACGAAAGAATAAACGACCTCATTTATTGTTATGAATAAATCAATACTAAGTATTAGATAAGGAGGATTGATTTGCTAAATTTGACAAAAGTTAAAAAAAGGGTCTATTTTATTTTTTTGTCACAACAACTTCAAACTGCAAGATGCTTGGAAATGTTAAAAAAAACATCGCAGTATGGAAACTGTGGTCACTTTATCAATACAATAATAGATTATACGATATACGATATGATGTTATTTATGACTAGTGGCCGCCAGCGACTTCGTCCGCATTTTCCATTATTTCTTCGCTCCTAATAGTTGCAGCGTCATATTATATAGCCTAAAGCCTTCCTCGATAAATGGTCTATTCAACACATAAAGAATTTTACAATTCGAACCAGTAGTTCCTGAGATTAGCGCGTTCAAAAAAACAAACTCTTCAGCTTTATAATATTAGTATAGATAAACCATAGTGTGCGACTGTACCAGTCTTAAGGGCTCTTTTGGCTAGAGAGTTGCAGCCTCGTTAGGTGCGCCAACCTCTCGTCTCCCTTTTCCCAACATTTCCCTTCACTGCTCTGCTCCTATTGATTGTAGCGTGATGAAAAGTACACTATAATCAGCTCAGGAGTATGAAAAATAATTGTACCAAGTTTCATTAAAATCCATCGAGTAGTTTTTGTTTCTATAACGGTTATACAGACAGACAGACAGACAAAAATTTTACTGATTGCATTTTTGGCATCAGTATCGATCCCTAATCACCCCCTGATAGTTATTTTGGAAAAATATTTCATGTACAGAATTGACCTCTCTACAGATTTATTATAAGTATTATTGATATTTCGTTTAAGCTAGTATATTCCGAGTATTTATAATTTTATCTTCACCATTTGTGTAAAATTGTTTACTGGGCAGGTTCTGTTACTGATTACAGATGAAATGACAAGACCTGTAATGTTATAGAAAAATACATATTTTGTTTTTAAACATCTAACTAGTCAAAACTGAAAAAGCGCATTGTGTATTTTTTTTAATTTCAATATCATTCGTGATCGTTACTCGTTTCCTTTACTCATTAATATTTATATATCAATTACTTAACTATGAAATATAGAATATTTTCTTTAGTACCTAAATACTTAAATGAATATTTACTAAGAAACAGGCACTTACCAACTTTTTTAAAATACGAATGGAAAATCTATGTCGTTTTTCCATAACTTTTATAATGTACCTATATCAAATTTATACTAACTATATGCCGCTAATCTCATAAAATGTTATTTTAATAATGTGTATATTATCGGTTTTAAGTAATTTAATATAAAACCAACCAAACAAGCAGCAAAGAAGTGAAAAATAATTTATCTTGTGGAATACATTTTGTGTAGGTTATTAATATTAACTCACCGACTTCACCATATGAGTTTTTTGAATATATGAACCGGATCGCCATAATAATGTTATATTTTCACTTTTAAAAAATTATCTAAAATCAGTCTTTTATTGTCTATTTTAAGCATTTTTAGGGATTTATACCATAAACATATATGTGGATGAAGGAATAGTGTAAGCTATTCTGTTAATAAGTTATTAGTTAGTTAGTAAAATTGATGACTAATTTTCATATCATTATATTTGTCATTGATTTAAAATTTAAAGTACTCATTTAATAATTGATTCTTAATTTGTATTTTATAACGAATTCCTATTAATGGTTACCTACAAACATTAGATAACAATAACACTTAGAAGGACTGTATTGACCAAGTCAATCGAAATTGGCTGCTAAATCATCGTGATAAGGTTACAAATGAAAAAAAAAAAGAAATGCGGGCTAGTTCCAAAGTCGGTAAAGACGGTATTGCTAGAAATAAAGTATTACACTACAAATACCGTCTTTTGCATAACATTAAAATATTAGAACTTAATTAAAGAAATTGGACATTAAAGAAACTCGTTATTAAGTTGAATAATTAGCCAATGTTAATTATACAATTGTTCATTTGTTTATTGATTGTTGTTATATATATAATAGCGATTGGTTCTCAGTGACTCATTTTTGTGATTTTAAGAGAAAATGAATCTGTCTTGGTCTGGAACAAGTGATATAAGTAGTGCCTCTGGTGTAAATAGTGATGACGAGGAGATTTTCGTGAACAGTTATTCAGATACTGTAAGTTATAGTTTTATATTTTAATAAAATAATGTTTTAGTACATTCATTAGTACAAATTCAAGTTTGTTCATTAGTACAAAGTGTTGAAAATAGTGTGTGTATTAATGTGCCTTGACAAAGTGAAAAAAAAATACATATATACAAAGAGATTTTAGATCATGCAGGAAATATTCTAATTTTAATTGGTTTTGATCTAACTATAGGTATCTGTCAGTATTATAGAGAAAACAGTATAATAGTTATATCCTAGAAAGATTATTATATAACGTAACATAGTTATACGAAATTGATTCAGTGCTATCTTACACTATATTAGTTATAAATATATAATAGAATCCATATTCATGTTATTAAAACGAACGTTACAGCCTAGACGTGATTGGTTTTGTTTGTTTATTTCATGTAAGTGAAATAATTATATCACTAAACTAGTACCATTGTAATTTTATTCTGAGCAAGATAGTAATAAATTGCTTTTGTATAACTATGTGACACAAAACAAATATTCAATATAGTCATATTTTTGATATTTCAGGAGAAAGAAAAAGTTTATAGCATAAAAAGGAGACATAAAAGGCACAGGACTAAATTTACAACAAATCAAATAAATTATTTAGAAAATATATTTAAGAGTGAGCCTTATTTAAATAATACGCAGCGTAAAGAAGTTGCCGAGGCGATGGGTATTTCTAAAGATTCTGTCAAAGCGTGGTTTCAAAACAGAAGATTTAAAGAAAAGCTAAGGAAAAGAGAGCTAGAAATTGATAAAAAAATATTTCTCAGGAAAGCGGAGTCTTCTAGTTGTCCATCTATAATTCCAACATCTACAGGTTGTGAAAGAAGTTTTCCTGGTACATCACTACCACGACAGATATGTCAGTCAGAAAACGATTCCAAACCGAATACAAAATTAGACATAGTTGTTAAACCAAACACAGCGACAGCTCCTGACCCGTTCAGGCATAATTATTACCAAAATATATCTGCAGTAAGAGAAGAAATTCCAGCTACAACTTCGCCGTATTTCAGTTTATCTAATACGAATAAATCTTATAAAAACAATGACGAATATAAAGCTTCAGCTGAATTTTCAATTGATTTGTTTAAAAAGTATAAACACATTCTTTGTCGAGATAAAAGCGAAAGTGACATCAAATCAGATAAGGAATACCTTCAGGTTCAATCATCAACATCAGATGGATCTGAAAACAGAAACTATCAAACTAAACTAGAGCAACATCACAATTTAAACGACATGTGTATGAACAATACAAATCCAGACCAATATCAGATGTCGATTACGCAGAACATTAGACCTGGTACATCTGATACGTATCCAGAATGCGATAGAATACCTCAATCATCTAATAAAGAACTTATGTGGTCTCCACTAACTTTGTCATTAGCTACGCCCAATATAGTACCAGCAACGAATACTTCTTTTACGTCTACAAGAACTTCATCTACTTTAAACGAGAACTCTGTTCAAAAAGAAGACTGTGATTGTTGTAAATGTCCAAAACAGATACATCATGTCAACAAGTTGGAAAACTTACAATATTCTGAAAAACCGCAGTATATTTACTATCAACGTGGTAATGTATTCATTTAATCTCAAGTCCTAGTATTTCTGTACATGATTTGATTTAACGTATTGTAAAATTAGAAAACCTATAACTTGCTAAAACTACCTTAAATATAATATTTATTAGAAAGAACCCATAAACCAAGTCATTCAAAATTGATAACTACTATCTACTATTGCATATTATATTATATAAATTTCTAGCAATACCTTTATCATTGAAGAATGTTAATTTATCATCGAAATTAAAAACTACACAGCATAAATCTTTTATCAATGCACATTTCTCTTTATATTTTTCCTTTCTTTTCCTTTCTTTCTTTATATAATTCCATTTTTTATTTTGTTAAGTCTTCAAAAGAACTCTTTATGACGCTATCAATCAACTTGGTAAATTAGATAACGACAATTACAGAATTGTGATTTTCTGTTAGCTATATTTCAGGTGTTGGTTACATATTTCATGGTTAATTTGATTTTATTATTTTATTTTTAGATAAAGTTAACCCTTCGTCTGGAGCAAGTAGGACTAATGACACTTCTGGTATTAATAGTGATGTTGAAGAGATTTTCGAGAATAGTTATTCAGATGATGTAAGTCATATTTATATATATTTTTTATAAAACAATCTTTTAGAGTTTACAGTAACACGTGCCCAGCACAGACTCCCACGGGTATTGATAGACACTATTTGCTTTACTGATCACGTGCGGACATAGAGCCGTGCAGACTTTGTGTCTGTGTCTGTTGACGTTTTACCGTGTCCGTGAATATGTCTATTGACACTATATTTTCATAATGTAAATAAAAAAAAGCCTTCTCTATATTTTATAATAGATACAACTTAGTAAATATTTCATGTTTATCATAACCGTTTACATGTTTCTATACTGCTGATTTATAGGATAAAAATAATGTTGTCGCTGGATGAATTTTTCATGAACTGACATATTGCAAAAGAGCATATTGCGTTACTCAAAATTTTAAATTATGAAAAATAAATAATAAAAAAATATGTTAAAGATCAAAGACAAAAAGTTTTGATGCGGGAACCTAGAACAAAATATACGGTGTGGTACGACCGCACCGTTACAATATTAAAAGATTTTACAAAAAAGCCATCTAGAAGCTAAGCTATTATATTAATTTATAAGAACATCACCTATAGTAATTTATTTAACATTCCAGGAAATACAGAAATTGATTCTTAGTAAAGGGAAATGTAAAAGATACAGGAGTGCATTTACAACAGATCAAATAAATTATTTAGAAAATATATTTAAGAAGTTACCTTATATCAATCAAATTCAGCGTCATAAAATCGGTGTCGCGATTGGCCTTCCTGATAAATGTATCAAGGTATGGTTTCAAAATAGAAGAATGAAAGAAAAGGTAATGAATAGAGACTTTAAAACCAATGAAGTTTTGTATCACAAAAAAGCTTGGTCTGCTAGTTGTCCGTCTATAAATGCAAAAGTTAAAGGCTGTGAAGAAAGTGTTCCTGTTTTATATACACCCCGACGAATGTTCCAGTCAAATACCTTTTTAAAAACTGACACGGTTGTCAAGTCAAACACACCGACAGCTACAAGTTCATTCAGACCGACTCATCATGAAGATGTATCTCCAAAACTAGTCTGTAATAGTTCACCTAATTCGAGTGCTTCAAATAAAGACAATGCAGTATATAAAGCTTCAGCTGAACTTCCAGTTGATTTGTGTAAAAAATACAATAACTTTAGCACTCAACATAAAAGCGACAATGATATAAAATGGGATAACAAAACAATAGACAGTTCTAGAAACACATACAATCTACAAAATCAAGAGCTACAATATATACCAGAAGACTTATCTATGAAGACGTCAACTTCGAAGCAATATCAGGCATCGATACAAGGGAACATTAAACCAGATAATTCACAATCTAAGTATTACAATGTACCACGACATATTGAATATCATGATAATCGTAAGTAAAATCATTTTATAATATGTCATTTGTTATGCCCAAAATGATAGTATCGAAAATTTTCGTTACACCTTCAAGATCTATTTATTAATATTCGTACAATCATTAAATTGAAATGAAAACTATAATTGCTGTAAATGTTCAAGAAAGATTGATAAATTGGAAACTTCTGTATAACCACAGCCGATAGCCTGTCCAAGCTTCCCTAAGATAATATTAGGGGTTAAAGTATGAAATTGCCGTTTTATTGTAATAGGTTCCTTGAATTGACATAGAATCTTTATGGTTTGAGGTTTTCGAAAGAAACTTTTTTCACAGGGATTCTATGATGTTCTTCTTTTAAAACATTTGAATATCGACTTTCAATTGTTTTTGTTATTCAACTTAGACAAGAAAGATGGATACTGCGAAAAATCGAATGATTGTTGAATACGAGTTCCGACGCGGAAGTAACGCGGCAGAAACAGCCCGCAATATCAATGTTGCGTTTGGAGAGGGGTATGCTAATGAACGCACTGTGTGACTTTGTTTAAATGCTTTCGTGATGGAAATTTCGACTTGAAGAACGAGCCACAAGGAAGACCACCCACACAGGTGAATAACGATGAATTAAGAGAGATACGTGGAAGCCGATCCTAGTCAAACTACCCAGGAATTAGCGGCATGGTTTAACGTTACCTTACCTACAATATTGACTCGTTTGCGTCAAATCAATAAAATAAAAAAATACAAAAAATGGGTGCCTCATGATTTGACTGATCTGCAGAAAGAATCGCGTGTTGAAACTTGTGTTGCGTTGTTGAATCGGTACAGAAAGTAAAGAATATTGGATCAAATTGTGACATTTGATTAAAAGTGGATTCTTTACGATAACCGTAAAAGAAAAATGCAATGGCTGACCCCAGGTTAAACGCCACAACAGTGTTCTAAAGCAATCACCTCATCCTCTGTATTCGCCAGACCTTGCTCCAACGGACTACTATTTTTCGTGATTTGGACAATTATCTACGTGACAAGAAGTTTTCTTCCCAGGAGGCAGTACAAAATGCTTTCACACAATTTGTGCAGTCTAGATCTTCAGAGTTCTATCGTAATAGCATAAATGACCTTCCTATTTTAGATGGCAGCAATGTATAGATAATAATAGTAACTATTTTGATTAAATAAATTTGTTAAAAATTAAACAATTTTGATTTTCTGTACAAATCGGCAATTTTATACTTTGACCCCTATTATTCTAACAAATTATGGAATTAAAAACCCTAATAAGTGAACTCTCTACGGTCATAGGTTCGAATCTTATCTTGGAAATTTGTGATTATCGTTTGTTTAAAGTATTTTCTGTTTAATAAATATTGGGTTGGCACAAAAGTAATGAGACACACTAGAAAAATCTATAACATTTCCTTTTTAAAATCATTTTTTTTGATAATATTCTAGAATGTTGTAGAACATTCTAGGTACTTCTGGTGTAGGGTATATAAAGCCGCGCTCGCGATTTGTTTAGTCAGTTTGAAGAAAAATGGACGAGCGACAAGTTCGAACACTATATACTTATACGAGTACTTGTTAGGCCACAGTGCGCGGGCTGCGGCTGACAATATCAACAATGCATTAGGCGCTGGAAGTACAAGCCATGCGACGGTGTCCCGATGGTTTGACCGTTTTAAATCAGGAGACAGGAGCCTTGAAAGTCAGCCACGCTCAGGGCGACCACCCGCAGTGAATGATGACGATTTGCGCCGCGAACTGCAGTTGAATCCGGATGCTACCACTCGTGAATTAGCGGAAGCACTTAAATGCAGTCACCACGCCGTGGAACACCATCTGCATGAGCTTGGTTATCGAAAAGTTTTGGCTCGGTGGGTACCGCACATCCTTACAGACGCCAGTCGTGCAGTCCGTGTCGCTATCTGTCAGTCACTTTTGCTGCGACCCCGACGTAAAGAGTTTTTGTCAGATCTGGTTACTGGAGATGTATCATGGATTTATTACGAGAACGATACACGTCGTGCTTTTTGGCTGCCTCGAGAAGAAACGCCACCAACTCAACCGAAGCCGAGTCAAAAGAACCGCCGAAAAATTCTGCTTTGCTGTTTTTGGGATGCGCAAGGCATACTGTTTTATGAGCTATTCTACTACTGTTTTATACTGTTTTATGCAATGAAACTATAAACGCTGACAAATATTCAACCCAGCTTACCAAATTATCTGCCGCTATCAAGAAAAAACGACGAAGACGAGTCAATGTAGTTTTACTGCACGATAACGCTCGACCTCACGTCGCATCTGTGGTTCGCCGGCAGTTGGAGAACTTGGGCTGGGAGACGATACCCCACCCACCTTATTCCCCAGACCTCGCCCCATCAGACTATCATTTGTTTAGAGCCCTGAAACAGCATTTGCGGGGTAAACAATTTAATGATTTCTCTGACGTAGAGGCGGAGTTGAACAACTTTTTCGAGGCACAGCCATCAGAGTTCTGGGCAAAAGGCATCCAAACTTTGCCGGATCGTTGGCAAGAAGTCTTAGATACTAATGGTAATTACATCATTGACTAAACTTTTTTTATTTTAATAATAATAAAAAAGTAAAAACTTAAACCAAGTGTCTCATTACTTTTGTGCCAACCCGATATTAATATCGAATTATGAAATTAAGAATTTCAATTGTGTATATCTTTATGAAGTGCTGTTATATAATAGACATTTGTTCGTCATTACGAATTCAAAATACATTTTTCTGTTAAATTTAGAGAAATTGAACCTAAATTGTTCAGGAGCAAGCGGGAGTCATGATGCTTCTAATACCAATGTCGATCTTAAGGTAAATTATATAGATGTTTAGTTATATTTTTGTTGTTTAATAAAAAAATAGTTTGCTTTCAAAATTACCGGTATTGAGGAATAACGTATGTGTGAATTTTATGGATTTGATTTTAAGAAAAATCTATAAATCAAATAATTATGTAAATTCATTTATTTTTCAGGAAAAACATGACCCTATGAATAAACATAAAAAATCTAAATATAAAAGATACAGGGGTCCATTTACGACAGACCAATTAAGTCTTTTTGAAACTGCATTTAGAATATGGCCTCATGTTAATGATATTCGGTGCCACGCAATGGCTTCAGCGACGGGTCTTACTGAGAACTGTATCAGGGATTGGTTCGAAAACAGAAGATTGCAAGAAAAAGGATTTAAAAGAAAGCCAGAAGCTAATGAAGATTTATATCACGAAAAAGCATCTGGTAGTTGTCCACCAACGATTTCTACAGGCTGTGAAAGAAGCCTTCCCGTTATATCACCACCAGGACAAATATCTGCGCCAAATATAGCTCCCAAAGTAAAAACGAAAGTCGAGATGGCCGTTGAATCAAACACACCGACAACATCCAGCCCATTCAAACATAAAAATTACCAAGACATATCTTCAGTAGGAGACGAAATGCCAGCGAGAATTTCAACGGATCACAGCGTATCTAATGCGAGTGATTCTTACAAAGACAATGCAGCTCATGAAACTTCAGAGGAATTTTCAATCGATTTGTGTGAACAAAACCATTATTATACGATATAATAGCGACAGCAATACAAATAAGTCTCAAAATCACCATCGACATCGAACAATCCCAAAATGATATATAGCTATAAAATGTACTAGAAGATTTATCTGTGACTTTAACCAATGAAACCTAGAAAACGATTAACAATAACTTATATACAATCAAATATGACAATGTACCACGACTTGTTGTATCTAATGCAAATATTATGTGGAACCAATTAGCTTTGCTTTACTATCAGCTAGTATTACCGTTAAATCTTCAACTGCTTCCCACGAATCTCACATTAAAATGAAAGATGTAATCGTTGTAAATGTCCGAAACGTTCTCAACTTGTCATTAAACAAGTAAAAGTTATACAAATTCTGTTAAACTAGAGTATATTGCATCCAAACTATCCCAAGTGCTAGGCGTCCTGGAACCGAATTTAATGTAATATTCTAATAGATTTTAAAATGACAATTCGATATTAAGTGTTACTAGTTAGTAAGTATTTAGTGTCGTTAATTTTATTTTATATTTATATAGTAGGCTATATTAAAAAATATTTGTACATTTCGTAAATTATTAAAATCAAAGTTTTTAAGATGGACAACTGTTTTATTAGATTAGTCAAGCCTGTTATTTCATATTTGAATGTTAAAAATCAACTACGGAACTGGCTGGATTCTATTACCGCCCGTCTCCGACAGCGAGCGACCAACGCGTGTCCTTGTATGACAACGTTGTGATATTACGTACTATCGCGGACATTTTCGCTCTTTCACTTTACAGTATTTGGCATGAATATGTCTCTTGCAGCATTTACTACGCCCCGCCCACTCACGCACTACTATCAATAACAATCAACTGTCCGTGAGTGCTGTGTACAAGAATGCGTAACCGAATGAACACTTTTTTGTTTCTTTATTTTTAATTGCAATCTGCATTTCATCCATTAATGACGCATCTAATTCTGATATTTGTTAATCTTTCTACTGTTTATGCTACCTTCTACGAAACACTGCTTTTTAAACTGGACTGCTATATCGTGTGCTGTCTTATTATATTACTATATAAATCAAAAAATAATGGCGCGCAATTTAGCAAGAGAAGAAAGAATTCAAATATTAGTTTTTAGTGGGCAAGGAAGAAATATTTCGAAGATTTCAACTGCATGTTTCGGTAAGTCATTAAATATTAAGTTTTATATATATTTAATATTATTGAGATTATGTAAATAGAAAAACATTCCTTTTTTATTGGGTCTTAGATTAGATCATAATGTCTACAATTATAGAAAGATTAATCTTACGATAAAAACAAAGCATTTATATATAATGTTACCAAATACTTATAATTATATTATAGAACGCATTACTTTGAAATAAGCAATGCAAACTTATTTTTATGCAGTTAGTGCAGTATGTAACAACTACGTTAATTTCCAATAACTACGCCGTGACTTGATTAAATTTTGTCTTTAAAGAAACAATAATTTAGACTTGTTTAAAGAGTTTACTTTGTCACATTTAATTAAAATACAACAATTCTATTTCAATTTTGCAGAGAGATACTGTTCGCCGATGGATACAACGTGATGCTGCAGAGGGGTCAATTGAATACCGTCCCCGAGCACATCCACCGATATATAACAGTATATTATACGAGACTATATTAATTAAGTTTACATTGTTATTATATTACATTTGATAAAATATCTGTGATAAATTTTATAATCTTTATTTTTTTGTTATTTTATATTGCTTTCTACTATGTTATTTTTAGTACTGTTGCTAATTATTTATATATAATACATATTTTACATAATTTGTGTTTTAATAATGATTATTGAATAGTAATAAATATTGTCAATTTTCGGGTTACGTTAATGTAAATTGTTTTTCATCCAATCTATTTTTAGAATAACAATTGTTACGCCAGAATGGCTTAGCATTAAAATATTTGAGATTATTTTGATGTTATTAACTATACCGATTAAATCATTAAAATTATAAATGATGTATACCTACTCTTTATTTTCTTTTATACTTAAGCTTTAGACAGAATTAAGAAGAAATATGTTAATAATGTGACTTGGTAATTTATAGTAACTATTTATAAAGTTTATAATTAATTTTAGTAAATGTTATTTTGCGACTAAATCTAGGTTGATGTAAATTTCAATGGTATTTGATTATTTTCTGTGATATTTGTGTTTTGTGTATTTATTATTTAATTGTAATACATAGTTTGTTACCATAAGTTTGTTACTAGGTTCAGGTTTTGTTAAATTGTCGTCATATTTGATTATTTTCTGTGATAGAAATTTTTGATGAATTGTTTTCATCTTTCATTTTGTAATTTTGCAATAAATATTATTAGGTCAGAATGGCTAATAATTACAATACTTTAATTGTTTAACTGTTATTCCAATTTAATAATTTTATCAAAGTAATGTTTTTAATTAATTTTCTTTTATACCTCATGTGTTCATAACTTTTGAGACAAAATAATAGTTGCGTAACTTTTTTAATAATAACTTATAATTCTAAAATTTTCAGTAACCATTTAATAGATAATAATCAGCAATAAAATCATATATTTTATAGTGATGAGTCGGTCTATTGTTCCAATTTTTTGTATAAAAATACTCTCTCTTACATTTTATTGAATATACTTTTCTCGAATATTCTATTCCTATGTCATTTTGAAACTGACTTCACTTATGAAATGAAATGTTATTACCAATTCCAGGTTGAGCGGAATCCGTTCTTCTGAAGTATATTCAGACACCTGAGTGAATTCGAATTCAGGTTTGGATTTTTACAGAATCGCAGGGCAGATCGCCAATCATCGATATCAAAACTGTATATTTTTGATAATTAGTTATTTCTACAACGCTATAAAGTCAAAGCGAATTTTACTCTTATACAAACGCGATAAAGCTCAATTTTGAGTTTTTACTTGATCACTCCGAAAACCGAGCAACGCAGAAGGTACAAACGTACCCTATTTCATTCACACGTATACTGACATTATATTGTTATTTCATTCACACATACCAGGTTGCATTGTTTGCGATCCATATTATTAAACGTTTTACATTATGCATTACATTCTATATATAGTTATTAAAACTGCATTATATGACTGTCAATGCAAAGATGACTACGTATCGTTTTGAACTGTGATCGCCGCTTCTTTGTGATCGCAGTTATTGTAAACTGAGCCGCCCAAAGATCAACCTTAAGTGATTTACTTGAGAGTGAATTTAGCTTTACTTAAAGCGTTGAAGAAAATAGATAGTTATTGTATCACTGAATCACTAGTGATCATGGTTCAGGCAAATCACTAGTTAAATAAATTTCTATCGCGTATAACATCTATCGCTAATATTTTATTCGAAATGACCGCCCTTGTTTTTAATACAGGCCCTTAGACGATTTAGCCAGTCATCAATAGTGGCACGAATCTTTTCTAGAACAAGGGTTCGCTTTAGTGACTCCAAGTGTGGGTGGGACTTTCGACAGGCCCTGAGCTCTAATTCAGTCCATAAAGAATAATCCACCGGGTTGAGTTTGGGGTTGGAGGAGGGCCACTAGTCCGACGTGATGAAGACCGGCACATTCTTCCTCAACCAAGCTTGGGTGCTTTTTTCCCGAGTCTTGCTGAAAAACCTAATCCTTATTGTGAAATAATATATCAGACAGGGGTTTACCACCGGCTCTTATATGTCACTTTTATAATTATTGGCTTTCACCTTGACGCCTTGTTGGCTGAAATGAAGCGGAGTAACACCTTTATACGAAACTCCCCACCATTACATTAGCTGGATGATGAGTACGCGAGACATTCCGTGCAGAAGCTGGGACATCCTTGCTACTTTTAGCGTACACTTTATTTTTCTGTCGGTTGAACTTTTCTTCGATAGTAAAAATATTATTGTAGGCGAAGAGTACCTTCTTAGCACCATGTCTTCACAGTAGCAATGGACAACGTTCGCGTCGTAACTTACGAAGACGATCGTTATAAAGTAAACTTTTTCCCTAAGATCACATTTCAGTATTCTGTTCACTGAAATGCGCGAAATATGAGTCTGCAGAGCGAGTTTCTTCTGAGTGCGACATGGATTTCGGCGAAGTCGCTCTGGGATGATTTTGATGTTCGCAGACGTCCTCACAGAGCGTGACCGATCACTCCTTTGACGATCTTGCAGAGAACTTGTCTCTTTGTTGTTACCGCTGTATTGTGTAATAGGTGAATTTACGGCTTACAGGAAAACTTTTCAGCTCGCGGAAAATCTGCATTGGTTTTTTTCCCGCCTTAAATAACGAAATAACAGTTGCAATTGTTTCGTTCCGTCCATCACGAGAAAATATAAACAAATGAATTTGCGATACGAATAAACTAAAAGTTAAAAATCCAAATTCAAAATCGGTAAAAAAACCAGACAGTAATATTTTATTTTATTCAGTAAAAAGTTTATATAACTTATGTATTACACACGAGTTTATATTAATTTATGTATTTACACACGAGGTATTTAAACTTTAGAATACGGATTAATTGGATAAATTGTAAACACAAATTTTATTTTGAAAACTGAAGTATGTAAATAAATTATTAACACGATCTTTATTTATTAAATATGGTTGCTTTGTTTAGTTGTAAGTCTTTACAGCTAAACAAAGAAAGTTAGTAGAAATAGCAAATAATTAAACATTATTCCTACTAATAGTAAACGCAAATAAAATAAAATAAATAGATTATAATTATTTTTCATTATATAACGTATAATTGTACCCCTGTTATTGAGATAAGAAATTGCTATAGATTTGATTTTGAATTAAATAAATAAATACCTATTTAATGTGTATTTACACAAAACTCTTAAAAAACCATTAAAAAAGTATTTTGAAATGTGGTTAATGGGTTTGTCAAAACAATTTTTATTATTTAAATACATACTTTATTTTTAATACCATTGATTTTTTTTCCAATGAAACCTACCATTTACTCAATAATTATACCTCTGAAAGTTATAAAGCTGGCCATCAGAGTAGCGTATGCAAGTCAACAAATGAATCTCGAGAATTATTAATTGTTTAACAATTATGTGCGTAAACGAGACACATGATTTCTCAATAAAAGGGGTGAGATTTTTACGATAGCCTAAGCGCAAGCGATACTAGCCTTATGGGTGAAAGAGCGATGTCCGTGATTGTACATAAGAACGAAAATGTTCGCTATTGGCTTTCAGAAACGTCGCTGAATTGTAAGATATAATTGTGATATTTAGATAAAATAATTATTATATCTCATAGAAACTTTAAATTAGAGCATAATAAATTACATAACATTTTCAAAGGTGTTTATTTCAGTTATCGGATCAATAACTGAAATAAACGCTTGTAGTCAAATGAAAAGGCTGACTAGACTTGATAAGTATGATTTTGATAATAAGAAAGTTTATATGTAAAACAAATAGGACAAAACAATTGACGAGTACGACCAACTGTTACACATATATAATCAGATAAACGTAAAGACACGCTTTTCTAAATATATAATATATCATAGCTATTTTGAGGTTGTAATAAAAAGTGCGTTGTCTTTAACATGTATTGAAATATAAAAATTAAAACGACTTAAAAATCCTATTACAGAGAAATATTAACACAGATTTTTTTTTCTCAAAAAAATCGTAACTACTGAACCGATATTGATGAAACTCATATGTTAAAAATTAAGTAATTAAACAAAGAAAGAATCATTACAATCCGATGTCTAGTTGATGTAGAAATTTGTAGACAAACATACTGACATATATCTATAAAATTACGCACATTTATTTAGAAGCCCATACAGACCAATATATATGAATACTCGTACAACACCATATACACCACGAATTGATAACCTCCTTTTTTGAATTCTTCACAATCAAAAAATCTCTTGCATAATTTAGAAGCATACTAAGAATGATTTTTGATTGTCTCTGTTCTGGGAATTATTGTTCTGGTTGATAATTGTAGTTTCTTTTTATGTGTAAGTTTAGTTGATAATTATGAGAGTGAATTTGTAAGTACGGGATAGGATGGAGTTTCAAAATAATCGAAATGGTAAGTAATTAAATTTGACTCTCTATTTTATGCAATACAAATTACATCTGTCCTTTTTCGCTTCATTGTTTATTTAATCTTATTTCGGAAAATATCTATACTAATTATAAAGAGGAATGATTTAAATGTTTGTTTGTTTGCATATATAGGCACCGAAACTACGGAAAAAACCGATTTTGAAAATTCTTTCACCTGCGGGTAGTTACATCATACGGGGTTGACAAAACTACTAGTATGAAATATCATTGGAATAAGAAAACGTCTTTTTATTTAGATATTCTATGAAAATGGTTTATCAATTTTGTATTAATATAATTTTAACGATAAATATTCTTTGGAATTGTAGCAATACATATGTGTGATATTGTATATTATTTATGTTTACTTAAACATAAATAGAAAGAAGAGCCTAGAAGAGTACTTAGTGTCGTGTTGAAGCTATTATCATGAAATATCTTTATATCAATATTTATTTAATTATTATCTTTTTTTTCTCCAACATATAACGAAAACTATGAAGTTACTAAAAATAAAACGATTGTTATAAATAAGACATGTTTTATTTTATTTCGTGAAATACATATGTTTTCATTATCTTATGAGCTTTTTTTTGATCGATAAACCAAAGACTGACTGAAATTTAAATTAAAAAAACGTATACAATGCAAAATATTTTAGGTAGCAAAATTATAATGTTGAGTACATAGTAGAATGTGAAAGAAAAATGAAAACCCCCTAAAGTTTGGAAATAGAAGACTTAAAATAGTTCAAAAAGTCACTGAGATAATCTGTTATTCTTTTGGACCTATCTATATTATTTAAAACTTTCAAAACATGTCAGATCATTAATCTAAACTTAAACAAAATTGCTTAAATAAATAACATATGGTATTCATGTTACATGTTACCTGATTGAATTGATTCATACGCTGTAGAATTAAACACTGGTATGTTTTGAATATTATAACTAATAAATTTATTAGTTATAATATTCAAATGTCAGATCATTAATCTAAACTTAAACAAAATTGCTTAAATAAATAACATATGGTATTCATGTTACATGTTACCTGATTGAATTGATACTATATATTTTTAGGACGTCTGCAAAAAATAAAATATTTTTAAATTATTATTTATAACTTAAGATCACAGATATCATACATAGCTTTTTTCTTTGGCAATTATTTCCTACGCTGTAGAATATAATTCAAACTTATCATTATTTGTAAAATATAAAATTCTTATAAATAACTTGTTATAAATAAATTGATATAATAGGATAATCTCATAAAAAAAGTTTTATAAACAATATTTAACATAACAAACATGATGTTTGTGTTTACCTAATATTTCCTACGCCATAGAAAAAAACTCAAAACTTTAAAAATTACAAACACCTAAATTTATGATTTATCCACAAAAATAAAATACATATGTAATTTATAAAACAGTGTTCTTATGCTGTTTGAAAATTAATATTTAATTCATTTAATACGGTATATGTATTAAAGAAGATGTACTAAATTTTTTTGAGTATAAATACATCCTTAAAAACATTTTGTATTACGAGTATTCGCAAATAGTGGTCAGACACGAATTTTAATCTTACACAAACCGTTGCTGGTTAAAATGTCTATTCGTTATCGAATGGCGGTTGTATAGTTTTACAAAAATTTTGCAGTAACATCAGAAGAGGTTGGGTAGATTTCGAATTATTTTGGTTTTGATTTTCGTCATCGACAACTTTTGGACAATTGACAGTAGACGTGACACATTGTGGTGAATTCTCTGTAGCGGTTGTTCTATAAGCAGGTGGAGGTAACACCTCTGAATTATTACCGACCTCATTGATGATACTGCTCGCACTTGTCTCATTGCTCATACAATCTGAATAAGAGTCACCTTTGAACTTTTTCTCTTTCATCCTTCTGTTTTGAAACCATAACTTGATGTTTTTGGGTGTTAAATTTAATGAATAAGATAGTTGTTGTCTTTCCTTTACGTTGATAAATCTCTTTTTGCTGTAAAAGTATTCCATTGCTAATATTTGATCGGTTGTGAATGTCGTACGACCTTGCCACCGTTTAGATTTCTTCTGGATAGGACGTTTGATTTCTAAATTGGAAAAAAGTATTAATTAATCACACAATTGTAAAAAATAAAATTTGCCGATTAACATATATTAGCTTACTAGAACCTAATAGGAGAGATAGCTACCCCTACATTGTACTGCCTCGCTTGTGACCAGGGTTCAGATGTACCCGGGCCTCTCCACGCTCAAGGAGGGAACAGGGTCCCATTAGTGGAGTTGAGTGTCCTAGCAGCTCGTATACAGTTTCTTATTTCTTATACCCTGAAGAAGATACACTCTGGGATTTTAGTGGGTAGCTTTCCACCCATAGAAGTAAGATCCATGTAACCAGATCGCAAGCGTAAATAATTTTCACTAAATTAAGGCCAATGAATATACCCCATTATGATACAGCCAACAGCACGTTAGGTTATTAATAAACTGTCATTGATTTTAAACCAAATAACATTATTCTTTATCATTTCAAAGTAATAGAAAAGAAGTTTGAAATAACTGTTTTATTGCATGTTATATTTACTTTGTGAATTCCAGATAAATGCATAAACAAACTTGTTTGTAGAATCTCAATGTTACAATTACCTATTCTTCTCATCTGTTATAGCGTCAATACTAGCGAAGTATGTGTATTTTGTTGGTACCCACAAGAGTAAAATAGTAATTTGATTATATTTTTGAGACTTAAAAAAATGATTAAAACCTTATCATCATTATTATTGAAAGAGAAATTAAATGGAAAAAGGTAAATCATATAAATTTGCCACCTTTTTATCAAAACACATTTGAATAATTTTATAATACTAAATGAGCTTACAAAATTTTCTTACCGGTACTTTATATAGTACTAGACTCAACTCTAGCAGTAGCATTATACTGCTACTAAATTGATAAAGTAAACATCTATTTTGATTTTGAAATACTTACCAATAACTTTGTTGTCTTCAGGCCAAGTTCCAGCAAATGGTTGATTTTCCCAACCAGACGTCATCTATAAACAAATTATTTGTAATTCTTAGATTTACGAATACCAAGTTACTCTCTCATCTCTAATAATTTTTAGAAATATTGATTCATAAATAATTGATTATAATGGAACCACCAAAAGACATTAATTACCGTCATACTATATAATATAGCAATTCGCAAATGAAACATAAATTTCTTAATTTTTCATTGATGATTTAACTCACCTCATTTGTATTGCTCAGCGGTGTGAGAGATGTTACCATTACGTTGTGAAACATTTTCTAATTAAAGCTTTTTTGAAATTAATAAAACTGGGCTTGGACTTCTCTACACTAATGAGTAGCAGACTAACTTATGCCAAAGACTAACAACAAAGTATTAAAAAATAACGTTCCGATTTACATTTCAACAAGTGAAAAGTTGGCGTTAAAAAGAATTACTCCGGTTCCCGGGAGTGATTGCTTAGTTATAAATAAGCCCGTATTATTTATACTCGTACCTTAGGTATCACTTATACTGATTCTTTGTAATGTATCCTGTGTAGAGTACAATAAAGATAATAGTAATAACATATTCTTTATTGCGAGCTCAAAGGACATATTACAAAGAAGCTAGAAGTTAATCCGTAAGAGAGACATGATAAATTTGCAAAGTAGGAAAATTATAGATGGTAACACATTTATGTGTTGTAATATATGAAACCCTTTTTACTAAAACTATAAGAACTTTACTATTAATATGAAACGAAATATTTTTGCGACACAACACAACAACGGAATGTCTCTAACCATACTCAGTGTATGAAAGGGATATGTACTATTGTAGTATAAATCGGGACTTACCTTATTGGCAGCTCTGTCAGCTTTGTTAAGTCGCTCAAGTGTTTTCTTTTTTTATTAGAATACCTTCATTAATAAAAACTAGCAGCCTTACTTATAATCAACGTCTTATCATCTGATTAACTAATCACAACTTAACTTCTTAACAACTTAATTCAATATATCTTATTTATAAACGCTACTTAAGCATTTGTAAACTAATCAACGATTAATAACATTTTATTTTTTTATTCTGTAGACACTGGATGAAAATCTTACCAAAATTAAATAATCATCATGAAATTTGGAATTAAATATGAAATTTAAAAATTCATTATGGAAAAAAAAGGGTTCGGGCTACCAACTGTTATGGAGATAAAAGGTGTTTTATAATACAATTGTATTTCGGTAATTTTTTTGTTTTAATTATTGGTGTTAAGTTTTCCTAAAAAGAATATATATTTCAGTTTTAACCTAACTTACGTCTTAACATAAAATAGAGAGTCGGAATACCGACACGACAGGAGGTGGACTCTTACCTAAAAGATCTTGAATTATTCAACAATATCTAATGAATTTGCGCTTAATTGTAATTTCTTCGACACTGACATTTTATATAAGTTTACAAATTTTTATATTGTATTTTTATGACCAGCTATCAATAAATATATGTCTGGTAATGTTAATGTAATTAATTCTCCTATATGCGGAAAATTACACACAAGCCGCGGAAAAACAGCTTGTTTATAACAAATCTTCTCATAGCTAATCGAAGCGATTGGTACGCGTTCACTATTATCGGTTTCAAAAACCATAATTTTTTTAATAATCCAATGCGTTTTACAAATTAAAATAAACTTGGACAGTATCGACGAAAAATAACATAGGTACGGTGGCTAGGTGATCAGCTGTCAAAGATGCGCCATTGTGGTAATAAACACCTTGTTAAGCGCTTAAACGTTTTTTTTACATGTACAAATCAATGTATTCACTTGATATTGGCAGAAATGTGCGAAATGCACAGGAAAGCTATTTATAAAAGAAAAAAAGAACCGCTTAAACAAGGATGTTATGCTACTTAATTTGACAGCTATTTAAGACGTTGGTAAGATGCGTTTTAACTTTAATGAATAAATAAGGCTATAATTGACTATATGAAAAGCACTCTTTCTTACGTTAAAACAATCTACGCAGTATTGTACTTTATTTATAAATTGATAAAATGGTTTTTATAACGATCCAGTAGATCTTGAGTTTATCCACAGGAAAATATATAAAAATCTAATCTTTTCTCTGTAAAATATAATGACTGATTGAGTTCAAGCAAGAGTGAGGCCTATGAGGAGCTTTAACTTCGAATGTTGGACCGATTTTGCTGATTCTCAGTTGTTATGTGCTATTTTATAAAAGCATATGTATTTTTGAATATTTTAATGAATATATTTCTCATATTGTATTGATAAATCTATTCTATTATATATTCGATATTCACATGCATAGATAAGTACCGAAAATTACTAGTTAAAGTGCTTGGATTATGGAAATCTGAAACAACAAAGGTACCACAACACCCAGACCTGAAACAATACAGGAAAATTCCCGGTATACTTATGAAAAATGTTATATATTTAGCCGATTGGGATTCGAACCCGGACTTCAGAGAGACATCTAGAACACTACCGCGCCACCAAAGTCAAAGTATGAATAGTATGTATGAAGTGTTTATTAAAAATGTTTTATTTTATGTAAATATCACTGGTTTCATTACAATTTATTATTATATTAATCACATGGCTCATTTATATTGACCGACGTGGTTCACATGAGGAGCGCGGGCAATCTTTAGAAGCTCATTTTATATCACACTTGGATACACCACTTATGGAGCAATAAGCTATAAAATTCATTCACGTCTCACATGCGGATGCCATTGACCATTATAAATATGCCATTATAAACTTGGCCATTATTAAAAGATAAATTAAATACAGACAATGTTGTGCATAATATTGGATTAAAAGTAAGATTTAATGAATGAAAAAAAATATTAAGGAAAGATGAAAACCCCCTAAAGTTTTTTCAATTAAAAAATGGAGTATTAAATAATATTTTTAAATTGAAAGTCACTTTACACTTTAGGAGACTTTCATATTATTTATTTTATTAAAAACATGTCAGATCGTAACAAACTACATTGTTATTTTAAATATATTCACTTATTTTTCTAACCAAACAATATTCAGTATTTTATACATTACCTGTTTGTTTGACAAGTATTTCCTACTTCGTAGAATATAACTCGAACTTGCTGTTAAAATAAATCGCATATATTTACATAACACTGGAATGGAATGGGTACAAAAACTTAATACTACTTAATTTATTTCTTAACTAAAAACTTAATTTATTTTCAATAACTTAAAATAAATTATCTTTTTAAAAACAATATTAAGTATATTACATACAACCTACTTATTTTTATTTTCTACTTCATAGAATACATCTTAAATTTGATATTATTTTATTTTAAAACATAAAATATCTTAATATAACACAAGGATGGGATACAACATTTAAAACAACTTTTTATTCAATAACTTATTGTAAAAATACTGTTTTATGAACTAAATTTGGCATACTATACTTTACCTGCTCAGTTTTTTTTCTACTTCGTAGTATGTTCGTTAATACTTAAAAATATATTAATAACTTAATCATCTTTATATAACTCGTGTATAAAAATAAAATATGTAGTCAATAAATAAACGTTAGCTACATAGCAATGTTTTCATGCTATTTGACAGTAATAAATTTATATAAATATAATTTAACGTAATCGATTCATACAATTGTATTAAAAATAAAAAAAATATATAAATAAAATTACAACTTAAATTCATTGTAGGTATTCAAAATCGTTGTCATTCCAATCGATGTCATTCGTACTGCTTACATAGTTACTCATAATAGGGGGATTTGAATCATAATGATATTCTGGTGTAGGATAATTTAAGCTCAAATGCGTATTTAAGTCTTCTTCAAATCTTTCATTATTTGTTAAATGTTGTACGGTATCGGTTTGCGGTTCTATAGTTCCATAAAAGTTGTTTTGCGGTGCAACTAGAGGAGGTTGAATCCGGTTTACACTACTTTGAACTTGATTTTGACTATTGACAATTCTTGGCCATTCAGAAGTAAAGTTGGTTAATTGTAGCGACTCTTCTGTAGTAGATGTGCTATAACCAGATGCAGGCGACAACTCAGAGCTATTACAGACTTCATTGCTGATACTATTCTCACTGCTCGTACAAGTCTCTTTTCTAATACTCGCTTGCTTGCTTGCTTGCTCACTTTTGGACTTTCTCTCTTTCATCCTTCTGTTTTGGAACCAGACCTTGACGTTTGTGGGGGACAAATTCAATAGCGTAGCAATTTGGTCTCTTTCCTCAGGGGAGACATATCTGCTTATACTATAGTAGTATTCCATGAGTAGTATCTGGTTGGTAGTGAATATTGTACGAATCCGCTTACGTTTCTTCTCAATAGGACGTTTGATTTCTAAATTGGAAAAAATATTAGGCATAAATTTATGAAAAAAAAACACGACTGCCAAAATCAAACTAAAAATGAAAGAAACAAGTCGTTTAATGGTTAGACTTAACATAATTCTCATTTTCGTCCTCATCCCATCCTCCTTAACCATCCATAAGGAAGGCCTGAGCCCCTGCAGTGGGGACGTAAAAGGGCTGATGATGATGAATTCTCATTTTGGTTAGGGACCGTCAGCTTAGAAAGAAGTAACCTAAAATATCTCTGAGTGTAATGAGAGTTTATTTATATATTTTTCAAAAATCATAAAAATCTGTTACTGAAAAATGCAATGGTAAAAATAAATATAATAAGGCTGCTAATTTTGAATAAAAAAAACTATGATTTTGATATACTTACCAATAAATTTGTTTTCTTCGGACCATGTTATAGTAACGGGTTCAGTTGCCTCATCGAAACTCATCTATGGTATAAGCAAATAAATATAGCTTATTTCATCTATGTATGATGTAGCTTCCCGTACGACAAAGAATTTTTAAAATCAGTCAGTAGTTTTGGAGCCTATTCGATGCAAAAAACAATCATAATTTTCCTCTTTGTATATTTGTAAAATATATGAAGACTAAATTAAAAGTTAATAATACTTATTAATCTTTATTGGGTTTCGTTTTTTTCTCACGTTTATAAGATCAATTCTTTCCTTTTTCATCAATTTAATTTCTGTTGTTTATAAATTTCATTTAGTGTAGTAAAGAATACAGAATATAGATATATAGTTTATAATATAGTAATAATATGTTATCGACTGTACAATTAGAATCTTTAAATGTGATTAAACCACACACAAACAATGAAAAATATTTGCTCACTAGATTAGAATAGATGTTTTAGTTTTGGTTTGTTTATCGTATTCGGTTGTTACATCGATTTATGAAATCCAACCATATTGCACCCATATCTATACTAATATTAAAAAGAAAAAAGGATTTCAATGTTTGTTTGTTTATAGGCACCAAAATTATTAGACAGATTACAAAATTCTTTCACCTATGGAAAACTACATCATACGCGGGTGAGTTACACCTATTTTCTGAATTGAGAATTTAAAGTTAAGCACGCCTCAAATCTTGTTTGAACCATTTTATGCTACAATAAAAACAGGTTTTTATTTTTTTTAATGATTTGTTGATATCAGTTTGTTAAAAGTAGTACTTCTTGCCTTGTGAAACGTAAAAACTTTTGTTACTGAAAATTGTAAGTTGAGATTTTATACTATTCTCAATTCAAAAACCAGCCGATAGCCTTTCTATGATCCCAAGTTAAGGGACGCAAAGAACGTTCGAGATAGTCCTCAAGCTGAACAAACTATATAAAATGTTATAAGTTGAACCTGAGGCTAAGGTAAAATGAAATATTATTTAAATTAATTAAAACATTATAATGTTGTGAAAGAATAACAAGATGAAAATAAAATTAAGATTTAGTTATATAATGCATTGGCATTAAGTAAGTTTTGTCATTGACACTTCAATTACCTGATTAGTGTTTTGAAACGGTGTGAGGGATGTGAACATTATGTATTTAAAAAATTGATTTTCAGAACTTCACTGGAAATTTATTATTAAGTCGGGTTCAAAATATTAACTTGAGTCAAACACTCCAAAATAAATCTTCTATTGTCAAGTCACATATTTTTAATAAAATACCTTCATTTATAAAATTGGATGACCCCACAATGCACTGGTGGTTTTAGACGCCGTCCTCATGGTCGCTAACTATTGCTCCGACCAAGGTGACCTTGATCGGGATTAAAAATGAAAACTTATTTTGATATGGTTGTCAAAATAAGTTTTAAATTGATAAAATTGATTTTATCTTTTTTTTTTTTTGCTTTAGTTTTACTTACCTACAAGAAAAAAGTGCAATTTGTCATAAAATATTTTTTAATAACCGCATTATGTGATTTGTTTTGTCACTCTTCTTCAGCACAAAGAAAGTTATTCGTTGATGGTATAAAATCATTTATATCTGAAAAAAAAAATAGTAAATGAAAATCAGTTCATTCAATTTCAATCTTGGTCCTAGCAAGGTCACCTTGGTCCTAGATTTGGTTGATAATAGTGTGAACGACCTATTAAGTGAGTAATATGTGGGTAAGGGGAAAATGTAAAGCATACAACGTGTTCATTTAATGATGATTGTTAGTAAGTAACTTCGGTAACCAGATCGTTCAATACTTTACTGAAGCTTTTATAATATAATGTGAATGTGTGATCTCAACGTAATCTTACAACAGTTTAGATTTGTTTCAGAAGTGTTGTTAATTGTCTCTAATTATTTGGAATATAAATGGATATAGTAAACCCTGGAAACAATTTTTCAGTAAGTTATTGTGCCATATCTGAGCTTTAAGTTTTTTAAGAAAACCTGGAATAAATGTTATAAAAGGCTAAATGGAATATACTGATATTGTTTATGTTTTCGTGATGAATTTTTTTTGTACTTCATAAACAGTTCTAACAATGCTTTTACTAGTGTATTTTTACTTAATGTTTTTTAAGTAGGTAGTTTATTAGAGATATATTTGATTTTAATATTCTTTACAGATTTATATGCCATAGAGTACAATGACCGAGAAAAAATGTTGTACCTACTCACTTAACGAAAAATCTTGCAAAATGGCGTACAGCAGGTAAAGGTTTACAAATTACCATCTTTTTTATATGGATCTCATTTTAAAAGCAACGAGTATCATTATTAGATCTTATTCTAAGTCATGCTTTATTTGTATACCTTTTATCCAATTCCATTCAGTGGTAACGCAATTAAGGATTTAAAATAACGCTTAGTGCGGGTGGGTGTTGATGACGATCAAGAAAAATAGCATAGCTTTGATTTATTTGTGAATTATGTATAAATCATATATATTTATACATAATTCACAAATAAATTAAAGATTAAATAGATGAGAGATAGTAATAGAAAAATAATTTTCAACCACTGAAAGCCTATAAGGAATTGAATCCGAGAATTCGACTGACAATGAAACCGGAATAAATGTTTTAGAAGTTAATTTAACCATTGCAATTTTGTTTCTTAATAAATAATTAATTTTGTTATAAGTACATACGGCTGTACCGCAAGATTACCACAATATGTAAAATTTCCGCAATTGATTTTGGATTCTACCCTCAAAGTATTAAATTAGACGGTTTTGTAGAACCCGACGTGCTGTTGATTGTACTTTAAAATAAAAATGAAATAGACGTTAAGATATTCATAAATTATTTTATTACTTTATGTCTGGAAACCAAAAAATGCTGACAATGAATTAATTACTTCTCTTCGTGAGCAACTAAATAAGTCGATGTGTATTGTGGTAGTTTATGTAGTTCATGATGTAGGCAACAGGATGGCAATCTATTAGTCTACTATTTTTTATCAAAGAAAAGTTAAATTCAAAGTATTTAACAAATTTTTTAAAGAACAGCTCATGCAATTAAGGTTTACCTGACATATCCTAATATTACGTAAAGTCAGCAATTCATAAAAATGATTGTTTTTGGGTAGTTTAATAATTTCCTTTATTTTTTGTTCACAGGCACAATAAAATTGTATTTTTAATACTTACGATACAGTAAAAATGCCGTACGAGTAAAATCAGGTAAAAGATAATTTTTAAATACGTACCGTCTTAATTTTATATGCCTATTTATTACGCGACTTTTTTAGGCGCAAATCTACTTAAATTTGCAAAATCAATCGAATTGTATAATTTTATTTGTACAAAAATACTGGTGAGATGAAAATGCCGAATATCTATCTCGAGTCCAACGAATGGAGCAAATATTCTCGGAGTTCTGCGAGAAACTATCTTTAAAATTAAAATAACTTATAAAGTATGAAAAACTTCATTTTCCTTTTCTTTGTTTTTATTTTAGTTTGTTTCTATATATATAGGTAGCTACATCAGTCAATGTTCTATTACACTAATACCCACATTAGTACAATTCGTGTAATTATAGATACTAAAAAAAGACTTTGATCTACATTTTGATATAAAATATTTTTATCACTAACAGGTTTACTACTCTAATCGCTTCAACATTTAAGCATTGAATTTTTTAAAGTTTGCTAATTATACTCTTTATTAATTCAATGTCTAAAACTAGTGGTAAACTCGCACGTTAACAATTTTTTGATGCAACTTGTAATAATTTTTTAATATATTTTTTCAGTAACCGGCATTCAATACTGTCAGCACGCAAAAACGCGTGAGGGCCGCTTTCACTACGTCTCAATTAAATTTGTCTGAGACCTAACGGAAAGGTCCGTTGGCCGCGTTGGCTAAAATACGTGCCGCCTAGAGCAAACAGTTGCGAGTGAACGAGAAGAAAGTGAAGATAAAGGATCGCCGCTTACACGTAACCAGGAAGCAAACTCATCTGCTGATTATGCAGTTGGAACCACTAACCATCCTCTGTGTAATTCAAATCCCTTTTCCAGGTTTAATTGTTTTGCAGATAACGTTTTACTTGATATAAAAAAAAATCCCAGCGCAAATTTTTCTTTTTAATTTATTAAGGCATACACAGCAGACATTAATCTTAAAATATATCACATAAAGGTCTAAATAGATTTTAAGCTAGACTAACATCCTTAAATATATTACGTACAGATAAAAAAAAAACAGTTACAATGATTTAATAGGATTATTTTCAATAGGAAAATTAATTACATTAAAAGTAAAAATAAAGTTGATTTATGAAAAGATTTCGTTGAAATATTTATTTCGGAACTTAATATTGCAGCTGCATCTTCATTTCATTATCAGCACAACAATTATTAGTCCTTTTTCATTTTTCTAATTTTGTTATTCTATTTTTAGTTATTTTTAGGGTCTTAATTATGTACATAATATTTTTTTAATTATTTTTA